GCTTCCCATGATGCATTGGGTGTTTCTTCTTCAGACATACTTTTTCACTTATTATCTGTTTATGCACCACTTTGCATTTAATTATTATTAAATGCAATGGTTCTCTCTCTCACCCCAACAGCAGTTGTTACTTATTTTATATCTGAAGAGAAACACATTATCCATAATGAAGATTAGACCTATTTAACGGCCTCACTGTTTGTCTCCACGCAGCACGTCAGCTCCGTCTGGCTTTCTTGATGCATTCCTGGAAAGACACCCTGGACTATTCTTCTAACACGATGGAGTCAGCCGTCCAGTATGAGAAGTTTATGAATGTAGGTGAAAGCAAGAGCAAAGACAGTGTTGGAAGATTTGTCTGTTTTGTGTTGATCTGTTTTTGTTTCGTTTGTTATTTGAAAGGAGTTCTTCCTGAATGTGAAAGACATCCTGCGTGCGCCTACTGACATCACTGGTCAGTTTGAGAAGTGGGAGACGGCAGAGGTGGAGCTCAACAACAGGTGAGAGAGCGACTCAGTAGATTAGAAGTTTGTTGTTTTTCATCAAAAGTTGCACTTTCAGAGTTGTGTGCGTGCAAACACAACACATTCATACTTAAAAATAAAAAGTGACTTGTGTTGTGTAGTTTCTGTGACAGGAAGTCTGCCGTGCACGAGGCTCTGTGTGACAACGTGGACACCCGCACTGCCGTGGAGGAGATGAGAACGCTAGTCAGCCAAAGCAACGGTTACATTGCCAGCAAGAAGAGCGCCAAACTCAGGCCCAACCGCATGCTGATGGAAAGTGTCGCTGCGTACCTCACCAACATGCTGAAGGTGAGCACGTTTCTGCTGCTCGTTTCACAGAAATAGAATAATGAATTTTACAGAACACCTTGATTCTGTATGGAGGAGAAATCATGCTGTTTGTTCTCATTTATACAACACGCCTCATTCATCCATTCACACACTTTGTTACTTCTCCAAGTTAAGAAACAACTCCATTACTGGGCAAAATCAGTGTGGCTGTAAACTT